TTTTTTAATTCTCTGAAGTTTGAGAACATAGGCCCCTAAAGTACTAGTCCTTACAATAACATTTGATTACAATGAAACCTTTGAATAGCTGGTAGAGTTGTTAGTCTGTTTATTGGTGCGCTTGTTTTCTTAACTGCTTTAGTGGGGAGAAAGAAAATAACTTTTGAGTTTTAGGGTCTTGGAATATTTTCTTAGCTGGGGGGATATTTTAGTTTAAATAATATAACACCTCTCTAGCAATTTTAATACCGCTAAAGATTTAAGCTATTATAGATTCACTGAGGATTGTTAATTTCGTTATATGGCAAATATGTATAACTTCATTACTACATTGCAAATAAAATTTTAGCCTTTCTTTTCTTCGGAATTGGCTTCATACTTTTAATTTGTCTGGCCATTATGTTATTAAGGCTGTTATTCACCTTAAGTAGCCTTAAGAACATTACAAATGGTCCTTTGGATGAAACAAAGCTATTAATTTTATAGCTTCATAGGAAGCAATCACAGCACCTGGGGTTGACTGTTAGATTTGAAAATGATCCAACAGTGACATAACAAATAAGAAGAAACTGTTTTTAAAATTGTATTACATTTATCTACTACCCTTCCCCCAACAAACAAATAATTATTTTACTTTGAATAAGAAAAGAGAAAGGAAACTGACAGTTTTTATTACCTAACATTTATCAGGTGTTATTTAATCTGTACAGTCTTACTTTATAACCAAGGAAGCTGACTCAGAGGGATTTCAGTATCTTACTCAAGGTCACACAGCCAATTAATGCTCTTAAGTAAATCTGTTATCTTTTCTCTTTCCATAACAAGAATTCCAGTTAGTTAAAAATGTAAAGTTTATTTAAAATTTTGAATAATTATAAAAGTAACTTTGGTAAAATGTAAAAAGTACAAGCGCTCTGATAAAACGTAACTCTCCATTTTTCTCATTTTATTCTTGTGAAATACAATCCTTCTTATGTCCATCAGAGAACTAAAGCATTGAACATTTTGAACTTCCTTTAGATATTGGCCAGCTGGCATGTTTTCCTAGCAAAACATTTTCTGATTTGACCACAGACCCTCTCAATCAGTTGTTACTGGTTTGAATAACATTATGCTGTCATGGTGGGCACCTGATCATGAAAACTGATATTTGGAGTGCATTTTTATTTGTATTTAAAATGTTTTTATAATCCCAGTATAAACACTGTTAATCTAGTCAAAACCTTTTCTCACAAGATCAAGAGCTTGTATAGGCCGCTGGGACTGGGTCTTCCCGGGCTCTGCAGCTGGCGTCGACTTCTCCGCGCTTTTTGGTGGCCTCGCACGCCAGCGCCCTCCGGCTCCCGCCTGGCCCTCTCCCAGTCAGCCCGGCGGCAGGGCCATGGCGTGGCGGCGGCGGCGGCCCGAGGCCCGCGGTGGGGCCCGCGGCGCGCTGGCGCTGCTAGCGCTGGCCCTGTGCGCGCCCGGGACCCGGGGCCCGGGGCCCGGGGCCGGGCACTCCAGTGATACTCGGCCATGGTGAGCACCGAGTACGTGGACCCGTAGGCCAATCAGAGCGTGTGGAGCGCCTCGGAGAGCGGCCGCTTCGGCGAGAGCTCGCCCAAGGAGGGCGCGCGGGGCCTGGTGGGCGTCCCGCACACCGAGGACCGTGACCCCGAGGGTTGCGCGTCCTGCACGCGCTTCCTCGTGCCCCGCGGCCGCGGGGGCGGCACCTTCAAGGACAAGGTGTTGGCGGCAGCGTGGTGGAACGCCTCGGCCGTGGTCCCATACAACGAGGAGCGCCACGGGAACCTCACCGTGCCCTTGTCCCACGCGGGAACCGGAAATATAGTAGTCATTATTGTTAGCGACCCCAAAGGAAGAGAAATTGTGGATCTGGTGCAGAAAGACATTCCGGTCACAATGACCATAGGGCTCAGCACACGGCACGTACAGGAGTTCATCAGCGGTCAGTCAGTGGTGTTTGTGGCCATCGCCTTCATCACCATGATGATTATCTCATTAGCCTGGCTAATATTTTACTATATACAGCGCTTCCTATACACTGGCTCACAGTTTGGAAGTCAGAGCCATAGAAAAGAAACAAAGAAACTTATTGGGCAGCTTCCTCTTCATACTGTAAAGCATGGAGAAAAGGGAATTGATGTTGATGCTGAAAGTTGTGCAGTGTGTATTGAAAATTTTAAAGGAAACGATGTTATCAGAATCCTGCCATGCAAGCATATTTTTTATAGAATATGCATTGACCCATGGCTTTTGGATCACCGAATGTGTCCAATGTGTAAACTTGATGTCATCAAAGCCCTGGGATATTGGGGAGAGCTTGAGGACATGCAGGAGACGCCCGCCCCAGAATCTCCCCCAGGGGCGTTTCGACTGCAGATCTGAGTCTTACTTTACCAGATGGTGACAGAAGTGACGCGGGCAGCTAAGCACTGCCCACCACCAGCGACTCCGTGCTGCCTTGCGAGGCCAGTTTTAAAGAAGATGATGGTGAAAACACGGCTTTGCTAGAGACAAGCAGGAGTGACCCTCAGTGTGAAGGACCTTTCTCCTGGTGTATAACCTGCCGGCAGTTTCACGGACAGAGCTTGGGCTTGAATTAAAGGACATTTTATTTTTTTTACTTTAGCACATAGTTTGTATATGTGAAAATAATGTACATTCTTTTACCTTTCAGGTTCTGATTTGACATACAAAGGGCTAAGATACTTTATTCTTAAAAATAATTTTTGATTAGTCTTCATATATTTATCTACTAAAATGTATCATAAGATTAATTCTAATCAAGGATGGTTCTAGACTAAGCACATTGAATTCAGACTAGTTCAAATGGAGTTGTGTGATTATATTCAGTAATTGATCACATGAGTTTCCCTGGAGGAAAGACTTTTTTAGAACATTAAACTTGTAAATGTGATGAGAGAAATCTATCGCTTCCTTACACCTCTGTACTATAGAGAGATTTCCAAACCTTAGAGCACTTTCATTGTTGTTTTTTATTTGGAGTTATGGGAAAAGCACTGGTTGACTTTAGGATTTGCATTTCTCCCTTTCATTACCTACTTTCTTCTAACAACCTTGATGAGGAGGGAAGTTTTGTCCATTTTTTTCTGTACAAATAAAAAAAGCTACGATTCCGTATTGTGCACGAGCATGAAGTTCTTCATTGCTTGTTAAAGAAATGGAGTAGACAGACTCTGATGTACTCTGATATGGTGTTTCTGGGGGTAAATGAATATCCTGATTCCAACTGCAGTTTAATCTTTACAGTTATAAAAGGTGGTAGATGGGGACTTTTCATTGCTGTTGTAACACAATAAACAACCAGTTTTCTTGAAAAAAATAAAAAAGCTTGTATAGTTTTACTTTAACTAGTTATAGTCATTAGGATGAGATTTGTACATTTATATTAGGCAAAATCTTAATTTATTTTTAACATGAAGGATGTTATACCAAAATAGTTTTTAGGAATTTTTGAGATAAAACAATTTAGTTTTGAAACTAAATAACTGGATTTATTTAACTTAAATACCACTTGGAAATTTTATGGTATGTAACCTTTGTGGGATTGGGAAGTAAAGTACACAATTTTGATGCAATGCTGAGATATTACAAATCTGTCTTACATTTGGGTTATGGGTCCAGTGTTTGAGAGTTACTCATTCTTTTGGTTGTTCATTGAACTAATTTCATGAAATATAATTAATTTTCGTAATTTTTATATAGCAGGTCTCTACTCCAAGGACAATAAAGATAATTTCCTTAGTTGCCTCCATATGGTTGAGTAAAGAGTTAATTATTTTAAGGCAGTTTGAGCACCTTGTCTTAAATTTGGATAGTAGTTAGAAAATATCTTTATAAAAGATATAGAGATTTGAAAGAGTCAGATATGTAGAAAATAATATATTATTTGGCTGTGTTTGATTTCTTTCTATTATTCTTCATTGGCTAAAGATGATGTTACAATTTAGTTCCAATGACTAGTACTATTTAAATACGCACCCATTATTTTAAATGCTATTAATGGGAAGATATTGCTGTTAGCAGAAACTACTAGCATATTAACTATGGAAGAGGGCAACAAAATCTGTATCTCAAAACCACGTATGGATACTTAAAATTATTTGTTACTCATGCTGCAGAAAGGAGTAGTTAGAATTTTTTTACTGAATTAGGTCTATCATGTTTTGGAGGGCACCATTATTAATATCTGAGATATTAAGTGGGATGGAATGCAATCAATTAAAAATCTTCAACATGTCCACTGAGATAATTTATCATGTAGATATTGAAGAAGAGGAAAAAATGAACAATTTTGTCTGATTAGTAACATCTGACAACTTATAGAAAGAAACCTGACTATGGGCTTCTCAGCACTTGTTTGTTATAGTTTAGTGCGATGATGAGCAGGGAAGATTCAAAATTCTTTTCTGACCCAAAATTTTAGCACCGATATTTTGCTTCTGAAATAGTAATGAAATAAAACATAATTTTTAAAAATTTAATTTTTATGTTCATGCATTAAGACTAACACTTGGAATAATGTGATATGTAGGAATTCAGTATGACATGACAGTTTTAAATAAGAGATTAAAAATACATTAGCAAAAAGAACTAAAAGGAACTAAGTATTAACAGAATCAAATGTTTCCCCAGTCAATAGCACTTAAGTTCAGTTCACTGCTCACCCATCTCCCCACTTAGGGTAGAAGAAATTTAGTGAAGTTCAGGAAATAAGATGACTATATTTGCTAAATTTGTCATGTGCAAACTTATTATAGTTGTTCATATTTTTAAAAATCATCAAAATCTTTTTCTTTTATATCTGGTTTTAAAATTATGCCATAGCTCAACTTTGATGTTCTTTTAAAATCCACAGGAATTCAATGTAGACTTTTCTATGACAAAATTCAGTTTGTACTTTCTATCTTAATTGTAAGTTAATGAATATCTAGCATCCAACTTTATCATTTTATTTTTGGCATTATCTCTTTCAGTACAGTGGAGAATTTACAGTCTCTCTCAGCGATGTCTTATTGACCTGGAAATACTTACTACATGAGAAATTGAACTTACCAGTTGAAAATATGAAAGTGATTGACCATTATGAGAACATTAGGAAGATTTATGATGATTTCTTAAAGAATAGTAACATGTTAGATATGATCGATGTTTATAAAAAATGTAATGTTTTGACTTCTAATTATGAAAATTATGCCAACATATCTCCTGTAAGTATTTTTAAAATAATTTTATCTTAATCAAATTAAAATTTGGCTAGATTTATTTTTACTTTAAATGATGGATCAGCATTTATAATAACTTGATAATGCTTTTGCTCTTTGGATCATGTTAAGAATGGAAAATTTAGCTACTTGAAAGCTAGTCATTACTGGAGAGAAATATTTTGGTGGTAAATTTTGTTGAATTTGTGTTATTATTTGGTTGAAATATAAGGACAGCTACTTATTAGATCAAAACATTTTTAATAAATCAGTATCAAGTACGTGATTTCTTTTTGAATTATGTCAGGGATTGATTTTGTATTTTATTTTCTTGGTTTAATGTGCATCTGTTCATTTGGCATATATTGTATAAATGATTGCTATAACTCTTTCTATGGTTAGTAATAGTTTTTACTAAGATAGAGTATCATTTCATGAGGATAGTATGATGCAATATACATGAGGTAATACACTATTCCTTTTTTTTTGCAGACACATTCATTGCCTTCTTTTTTTATAGAGTATAAATTTTAAAGTTAATGGAGTAGCATCCCTTGCAGTTTGGTTTTGTCTACATTATAGTTGATAAACTGTTTTAGAATATATTTGAGTATATCTAGTTTGTTTTAAAGTATTGAAAATATATTTCTTTATCTTAACATATACCAAGTGCCACTAAAGTAGTAATTAAACAGTGGTAATAAAAGAATAATTGCAGCCATAACTAGAAGAAAATGTTTACTGGATTTTCTCAGATATTAAAATAGTTTACAAATATTACTATCTGATACTTGGGAATAATGTTTTGTAGGCTTAGAATAGAAACCGCAATAACAGTTGTTTAAGACAATGGAAGTTTGTTTCATTCTTTTATAAAAGATGTCAAAAGGTTAGCATCTAGGACTGATATGATAGTTTCATGGTTATCAGATAGTACCTAGGATTTTACTGTCAGTCTGCTCTCCTATCTTAGTTCTTGACTTCTACCCTCAAGATCATTTGTGGTCCAAGATAGTTGTTGGAGCTCCAGACATTGTATCAGCATTTCATGCAGCAGGAAATAGTAAGGGAGCACCGCACTCTCTTTTCCTTTGAAAGAGATGTAGCTCTTTTGCTTCCATCTCATTAACCAAAGCTTAGTCATATGGCCAGACCAACATGCTAGCAAGGATGGAGAATATAGTCTTTATTCTGGGTAGTAATATGCCAGAAGATAAAAGAAAGCTCTGATACTAAGGAAGAAGGGGAGAATGGATACTGGCAGGCGGTTTGTTGTCTTTGCCTCATGGGGCTATCATTGAAACCTTTGCCTTTTTGTAACTTTCTCAAAATACATGCACACACGTGTACATGCATACCCACACATACTCATCCACACCATGATGAGGATACTTGTGAGTGAAGACAGTTTTTTTATTCCTCTCTAGTTATGTTTTATTTGCTTACCTGTAGAGATGATTTTTAACTACTTTTCACAAAGTTAATTTAGAGAAGTTCATCAAACACAAGTATTAGATTGTAGGAACAACAAACATGAGTTTCTGATAAGCCAGTGAGAGTATAATCTGCCTGAGGTCTTTGTTTTCATTTTATCCTTTGTCTATAAGTCCTCTAATAAGTTTCTTCATTTAAGTGAATCAGCTTATAGTGTGAGATATATAAGGTTTTACATTTGAGGAAGTTCTGTCTCCAAATATCAATATGTCTCCTTTGAAGAACATCAGGAATGAAGTGGGAACTGCTGAGATGGTAATATATGAAGCAGAAAATTTTCTGCATTTAAATCTTAGAAGGCTAACAACTTGATCTCTGGTACTTATGTTACTCAAAGGAAATTTGCAGCGAGGAAAAAGTGAGCAGGAAAATATCCCTAGATCGACATTTCAAAAGTATGCTAAATGTAACCCTAATTTATGCTAAAAGTATCTTTAAAGATACATATCAGAAAGTTCTAAATATTTCTGAGCTTCAGAGTCCTGAAATATCATGATCCTAATAAGCTTTTTTGTTTTTGATTTATTGTAGCCTAAATAAGGCAAGAATTAAGAGGAATTAAGATAAAGGTAAGACAGGGAAGTTCTGGGAACATAATTTGAATGATAGCCCTTTCCCCTTTGTTTCCTACTTTTATAATTCCTCTCCCGAGGAACATGGATGCAGGGCCCATGGGCATCTGGGAGCATAGAAGTCCTTGGATGCTAACTGGACTCTAAGTAGGGAGAACTGTTACAGAGATTGCTCTCATGAACTGAGTAATTATCTGGAGGACAAAATCAGAGACCTGGGCTGAGGAGCAGAAGTGGTAGGTCCTGAGAAGACCTAAGCAGCCCTCAAATCTGAGGAAGGTCAATAAATGCCTTCTATGAGTGTGCCAGGGTTCTTTTACTCTCAAGAAGCAGCAAAGTAGCTGAGTGGATGGTCTTACTGTTGGTGAGGCTTGAGAGACCACAAGAAGACTGTTTTTCAGCCTAAGCAGGTGACTGGCAGCTTGCTTTTTTCTCCACTGCTGCTCAATAAGGAGTAGAGACCATTTCAACTTCCATTACTCATAGAACTGTCATCACTTAATGGACCTCAACAGTCAGCTGGGCCCCAAAAAGCCAGTGAGGAGAAGCCACGGTCACCTAAGGGGTCTCAGTGGCCAGAAAGATGAATCAGCTAAGAACACACATGCCTAACAAAATAGAGCTGCTCGAAGGGAATGATAGCAAATTGAATCCAGCGAAATAATAAGTACTCAAGGAACTTCAAGTATATACCTAAACATAAGACTTTCTAGACATTAAAAAAAAAGAAGAAAAGTTTTCCCAATGTAACAGATGAATTCAGACTCAAATTAGTATCCTGAAAGTCAAGTACAATAAGTAAAGCACAGAGTAAAACACATAAAGAAACAAAGAGGGAAAGTTAAGAAACTTGGAGGTTAGATCTAGAGGATTAAGAAACTTAGAGGTTAGATCTAGAGGATGTAACATATAAATGTTAGGAGTTCTAGAAGGAGAAAAAAGAACAGATGCAAAAGAGGCCATGATAAAATAAATCATATATTTGTTACAACTACATTTGTTATAATAAATATTTTCCTGAGTCTCCTAAGGAATGTTTATGAAGTTCCAGGCTGAATTGATGAGAAATGACACATACCTAGACATATCCTGGTAAAATTCCTGAACTCTTAATTTCCTGGCAGAAAGAACAAGTTATTTAAAAAGAACAAAAAATTAAATAGCATGTCCTGAAAGTGACCTAAGAATTCCATCCTCAACCAAGATATCATTTATCAGCCAAGTTAAGGAAGGATTTGTGAGGATATGCAAAAATTTAAAGAATGTCATCATCATACCTCGTGTGAAGCATTTACCTTTCCAAAGACTAATAATTAAACAGATGAACTGGAGCAGCGGTCTATCTAGGGAAAGATGGTAGTGAGCACTAAAACTTGGAGTGTATATGTGCAGTTAAAATGATAAGGATGGACTGGGAATATGTGAGCTAAAATGGAAGACTTACACTAAGAGAGATTCTGATACTAGTTTAGAATTAAAACTGCTAAACTTCGTAGTTTGTTAGGGGTAAGTAGCAGGCATTATCACTTTTAAAAAAGAATAGAGAAATATGAGTCTGATTTGAGTACAGGGAGAGTAAAGGCAACTATTAATGGAATGGAAAAATACAGTACATCTTCCAAATAAGAGGATAAAAATACAGTGAGTAGCAACCTGTCAAATCAGTAAAGATACAAATCAGTAAAATTAATAGTGTACCACAGCAAATATATTGTGATTTTTATCTTGCCTAAGAAAGCTTTATGCTATATATATATATATTTTTTTCCTTTTTTTTGCGGTACGCGGGCCTCTCACTCTTGTGGCCTCTCCCGTTGCGGAGCACAGGCTCCGGATGCTCAGGCTCAGCAGCCATGGCTTACCGGCCCAGCCACTCCGCGGCATGTGGGATCTTCCCAGACCGGGGCCTGAACCCGTGTCCCCTGCATCGGCAGGCGGACTCTCAACTACTGCGCCACCAGGGAAGCCCTATGCTATATTATCTAGAGTCCTTGTCTAACTTTGAGGTCTAGGAACTGCTTTACACTAAAAATTATTTAGGACTAGAAGGAGATTTTGTTTATGTGGATTATATCTATTGATATTTTCCATATTAAAAATTAAAGAGAAATGTTTAAAATGTTTATCAGTTATTAAAATATTGATATTGAACCTATTACATTTTAATATGAATAACATTATGTTATGAAGAATAACTTTATTTTCCAAAAATAAAAAAATTGTGAGAATAGTGACATTGTTTTACATTTTTATGAGTATCTTTAATATCATGTGTGATAGAAAATACCTGGATTCACATGTCTGCTTCTATTTGATAAGTTAGTTTGATTGAAGTATATCAAGAAAATTCAGATTCACATTGATACATAGTTGGAAAAGGAGGACTTCCCAGATCCCCTGAATGGGTCTTAAGGACCTCAGAAGTACTTGGATCATACTTTGATACCCACTGAACTGATCTAGAATAATGTACTTTGCATGTAATTAAATATGAAAGTGTTTTTTAACTAGAAGGTAATATTCTCCCATTTCTAAAAATAATATTGTGTTTATGGAAAAATAAATCTTTGCTTTCAGCATCTCTTCTGAAAACATAAGAACCACAAGTGTGAGTACTACCATTCAAAATTTGTTAAATAGTAAATTCTTATTTTGGTGATCTTGAATTTTGAGATTGAAAAATTGTATATGTTATAAACAATAAATCCTAGGCTTTCTAGTTTTTTTTTTAATCACTTGATTAACTCTTTATGAGTACCAGCTTATCATATCAGTAGAATTGTGGCAAATGCTATTTCTTTTCAAGGAGTATATATTGGTGAGTTACTTTAGTTATAATTTTGCAATATCTCACTGGGCTTTGTTAATTCAGTTTGTCCCTTTCCTTCAGGTTTACTTATCAGGAATTGTGTGTGTGTTTGTGTTTGTACATACCTGTATAATCTTCAGTCCCTTAGAATAAATGAAATAATATGGAGATATTGAGTAGTGTGTCAGGCTGAAAGCAAATATCTCTTTATAAATTATTTTTTCGTGGAAGCTCTTATTTTGTTTGAAATATTGTGGCTTAGGAAAATAGATTTACTTATGTATATTCCAAAATGAAGCATTTATTGTGGGCATTAGCTAAGACTTTCTTCCATACAAATAAAAGGCTCAGATGAAATTTCCAAGGTCATCTTTTAACTATGAACTTGCAAAACTCTTTGAGTACAAGTGCCATTGGAAACAGATTGTTAGGAAATTTAATTGCGTGTATATTATGGACTGCCAACAAAAGTCAGGTAATGTGCTGTACACTGGAACATCAGAGACACTAAGTAGAGCTAGGTGTGAAATATTTTTTACAGTTGGCGTAGCATTTTGTTAGTAACATCTTGTATTTCTTACAGAGTCAACTACGGGATTTTCTGTCTGGCAGACAGTATGCAGTAGATAATGAAACTGATTTTTCTGAACCAATGTCACCAATTAGTAAACATAACCGGGATAATGAAAAGGTATGGCTAAATTGTGAGTAAATAAAAGCAGGATATGATCCTCTTAAAATCACTATGAATTTGTACGTTACAGTTACTATTTTTTTTAAATTTTTTAAAAGTTTTAAATTTGCTTAAATAAAAAAAATTTGTGAAGAGTAGTACATTGGAGACTGCCAAGAGCATGGTAATAATCAGTTTATTCATGGTTTTGGGCCATGGTAACAGGCACTGTGCAAAAATAAGTATCACTAAGTATCGGAAAAGTTGGTACAGGTTGCCAGAGTTCTTTGAATTTTTACATTTGGTATACTTCACAGTTAGTATTTTATTTTATTTTATTTCATTTAGTAATATGCTTATTTATTTATTTTTGGCTGCGTTGGGTCTTTGTTGCTGTGCGCACTGGCTTTCTCTAGTTGTGGCGAGTGGGGGCTTCTCTTGCTTGCGGTGCGTGTGCTTCTCATTGTGGTGGCTTCTCTTGTTGCAGAGCATGGGCTCTTGGCACACAGGCTGCAGGAGTTGTGGCACGCAGGTTCAGTAGTTGTGGGACGCAGGCTCTAGAGCTCAGGCTCAGTAGTTGGGGTGCGTGGGCTTAGATGCTGCGCAGCATGTGGGATCTTCCCAGACCAGGGCTCGAACCCATGTCCCCTGCATTGGCAGGCAGATTCTTAATCTCTGTGCCACCAGGGAGGTCCCACAGTTAGCATTTTAAATGGTTGATTCTTAGGAGAATATGTTATGTTCTCCACTCTTCAAAAAATCTGTTTCTACTCTTTGCAGTAGAATAGCTGATGCATCATGAGTTCTGATAACAGGATTTGCTGTCCAAACAAACCACAGAAAAGTAGTACAGGTTTGGTTTAATATAAGTTACCTTCAGCTGAACACTATTCTAGGTACCTAATTACATGTAGTAATTCCTTACTAACGATGGGAATTGTGTTTATGAAAGTTTCTTAGTAAAATTACCATTGACAAGATGAAAGGTTAAGAGTACTGGAAAGAGCATATCTAAAAATATGTTATGTGAGATTGGTTCAAGATGGCGGAGTAGAAGGACATGCTCTCACTCCCTCTTGCGAGAACACTGGAATCACAACTAACTGCTGAACAGTCATCGACAGGAAGACACTGGAACTCACCAAAACAGATACCCCACATCCAAAGACAAAGGAGAAGCCACAAGGAGACGGTAGGAGGGGCGCAATCACAATAAAATCAAATCCCATACCTGCTGGGTGCGTGACCCACAAACTGGAGAACACTTATACCACAGAAGTCCACCCACTGGAGTGAAGGTTTTGAGCCCCACGTCAGGCTTCAGAACCTGGGGGTCCGGCAAAGGGAGGAGGAATTCCTAGAGAATCAAACTTTGAAGGCTAGCAGGATTCGATTGCACAACTTCGACAGGACTGGGGGAAACGGAGACTCCGCTCTTGGAGGGCACACACAAAGTAGCGTTTACATCGGGACCCAGGGGAAGAAGCAGTGACCCCACAGAGACTGAACCAGACCTACCTGCTAGTGTTGCGGGGTCGCCTGCAGAGGCGGGGGGTGGCTCTGTCTCACGGTGAGGACAAGGACACTGGCAGCAGAAGTTCTGGGAAGTACTCCTTGGCGTGAGCCCTCCCAGAGTCCGCCATTAGCCTCACCAAAGAGCCCGGGTAGGCTCCAGTGTTGGGTCACCTCAGGCCAAACAACCAACAGGGAGGGGACACAGCCCCACCCATCAGCAGGCAAGTGGATTAAAGTTTTATTGAGCTCTGCCCGCCAGAGAAACGCCCAGCTCTACCCACCACCAGTCCCTCCCATCAGGAAACTTGCACAAGCCTCTTAGACAGCCTCATCCACCAGAGGGCAACAGCAGAAGCAAGAAGAACTACAATCCTGCAGCCTGTGGAGCAAAAACCACATTCATAGAAAGATAGACAAGATGAAAAGGCAGAGGGCTATCTACCAGATGAAGGAACAAGATAAAACCCCAGAAAAACAACTAAACAAAGTAGAGATAGGCAACCTTCCAGAAAAACAATTCAGAATAATAGTGAAGATTATTCAGGAACTCAGAAAAAGAATGGAGGCAAAGATCGAGAAGATGCAAGAAATGTTTAATAAAGACCTAGAAGAACTGAAGAACAAACAGAGGTGAACAATACAATAATTGAAATGAAAAATACACTAGAAGGAATCAATAGAATAACTGAGGCAAGAACGGATAAGTGACCTGGTAGACAGAATGGTGGAAGTCACTGCTGCAGAAGAGAATAAAGAGAAAAGAATGAAAAGAAATGAAGACAATCTAAGAGACCTCTGGGACACATTAAATGCAACAACATTTGCATTATAGGGGTCCCAGAAGGAGAAGAGAGAGAGAACTGACCCAAGAAAATATTTGAAGAGATTATAGTTGGAAACTCCCCTAACATGGGGAAGGAAATAGCTACCCAAATCCAGGAAGCACAGAGAGTCCCATAGAGGATAAAACCAAGGAGAAACATGCCAAGACACATAGTAATCAAATTGGCAAAAATTAAAGACAAAGAAAAATTATTGAAAGCAGCAAGAGAAAAATGGAAAATAACATACAAGGGAACTACCATAAGGTTAACAGCTGATTTCTCAGCAGAAACTCTACAAGCCAGAAGGGAGTGGCATGATATACTTAAAGTGATGAAAGGGAAGAACCTACAACCAAGATTACTCTACCCAGCAAGGATCTCATTCAGATTCGATGGAGAAATCAAAAGCTTTACAGACAAGCAAAAGCTAAAAGAATTCAGCACCACCAAACCAGCTCTACAACATATGCTAAAGGAACTTCTTTAAGTGGGAAACACAAGAGAAGAAAAGGACCTACAAAACAAACCCAAAACAAAAAGACAATGGTCATAGGAACATACATATCGAAACCTATCTTAAACGTGAATGGATTAAGTGCTCCAACCAAAAGACACAGGCTTGCTGAATGGATACAAAAACAAGACCCATACAGATGCTGTCTATAAGAGACCCACTTCAGACCTAGTGACACATACAGACTGAAAGTGAGGGGATGGAAAAAGATATTCCATGCAAATGGAAATCAAAAGAAAGCTGGAGTAACAATACTCATATCAGATAAAATAGACTTTAAAATAAAGAATGTTACAAGAGACAAGGAAGGACACTACATAAAGATCAAGGGATCTATCCAAGAAGAAGATATAACAATTATAAATATATACACACCCAACATAGGAGCAACTCAATACATAAGGCAACTGCTAAGAGCTGTAAAAGAGGAAATCGACAGTGACACAATAATAGTGGGGGACTTTAACACCTCACTTACACCAATGGACAGATCATCTGAACAGAAAATTAATAAGGAAACACAAGCTTTAAGTGACACAATAGACCAGATAGATTTCATTGATATTTATAGGACATTCCATCCAAAAACAGCAGATTACACTTTCTTCTCAAGTGCGCATGGAACATTCTCCAGGATAGATCACATCTTGGGTAACAAATCAAGCCTCAGTAAATTTAAATCCTATCAAGCATCTTTTCTGACCACAATGCTATGAGATTAGCAATCAATTACAGGGAAAAAAAACGTAAAAAACACAAACACATGGAGGCTAGAAAATATATTACTAAATAACCAAGTGCTCACTGAAGAAATCAAAGAGGGAATAAAAAAATACCTAGAGACAAATGACAAAACACAACGATCCAAAACCTGTGGGATGCAGCAAAAGCAGTTCTAAGAGGGAAGTTTATAACTATACAAGCCTACCGCAAGAAACAAGAAAAATCTCAAATAAACAATCTAACCTTACACCTAAAGGAGCTAGAGAAAGAAGAACAAACAAAACCCAAAGTTAGTAGAAGGAAAGAAATCATAAAGATCAGAGCAGAAATAAATGAAATACAAACAAAGAAAACAATAGCAAAGATCAATAAAACTAAAAGCTGGTTCTTTGAGAAGATAAACAAAATTGATAACCCATTAGCCAGACTCATCAAGAAAAAGGGGGAGAGGACGCAAATGAATAAAATTAGAAATGAAAAAGGAGAAGTTACAACAGACACCGCAGAAATACAAAGCATCCTGAGAGACTACTACAAGCAACTCTATGCCAGTAAAATAGACAACCTGGAAGAAATGGACACATTCTTAGAAAGATGTAACCTCCCAAGCCTGAACCAGGAAGAAGTAGAAAATATGAACAGACTAATCACAAGTAATGAAATTAAAACTGTGATTAAAAATCTTCCAACAAACAAAAGTCCAGGACCAGATGGCTTCACAGGTGAATTCTATGAAACATGTAGAGAAGAGCTAACACCCATCCTTCTCAAACTCTTCCAAAAACTTGCGGATTAAGGAACACTCCCAAACCCATTCTATGAGGCCACCATCACCCTGATACCAAAACCAGGGAATGATACTACAAAAAAAACAAAATTACAGACCAATATCATTGATGAATATAGATGCAAAAATCCTCAACAAAATACTAGCAAACAGAATCCAACAACACTTTAAAAGGATCATACACCATCATCAAGTGGGATTTACCCCGGGATGCAAGGATTCTTCAATATACGTAAATCAATCAATGTGATACACCATATTAACAAATTGAAGAATAAAAACCATATGATCATCTCAGTAGATGCAGAAAAAGCTTTTGACAAAATTCAACACCCATTTATGATAAAAACTCTCCGAAAGTGAGCATAGAGGGAACCTACCTCAACATAATAAAGGCCATATACGACAAACCCACAGCAAACATCACTGTCAATGGTGAAAAACTGAAAGCATTTCCTCTAAGATCAGGAACAAGACAAGGTTGCTCACTCTCACCACTATTATTCAACATAGTTTTGGAAGTCCTAGCCACGGCAATCAGAGAAGAAAAAGAAATAAAAGGAATACAAATTGGAAAAGAAGTAAAACTGTCACTGTTTGCAGATGACATGATACTATACTTAGAGAATCCTAAATATGCCACCAGAAAACTTCT